GCGAAAACATTCAGCAATGCCCAAGGCGAGGTGGTGGTCGCCACGTTTGCCTCAAATGCGCCGCTGAGTGACGAAACGGCATACGCCCACCTGAGGGCCTGGAAAATTCAGATCGAGGCGAACGGCCTGGCGTCGAATTACACAACCATTGAACGTCACAGAGAAGACAAACAATTCAGGCAATGTGGCGTGGTGGCTTGCTTGACGACGAGAATGTTGTCGATTTGTTTCCGCGGATACGCGGAGGGAAGAAGGAGCTAACTGGTTGCACGACTCGTCGTTCACGTTCTTGCTTGGAGTTTAGGCAGCACTGCACGACGTCTGATCCGTGTCCTTTTAGCCACGGTACGTTCGAGCTGCAGTGCAATGCAGCAAAAAGGCTACTGATCATCCATCGCTACCTACTGAGAGTTACAAGTGCTAGCCCCTAATAAGCACTACATGGCCATTTTAACTTACTCTTTAATTCAGAGGTTAGCGAACGGGGTAAATTACCCCAAGTGCGGTAAAAATGAAACTCATTGGGTTAACGAGGACTCAGCAGACATAAATAAATTATATAAAAAGCGCGTGTCGTGTTAAGAACAGTAATTTTTTTCTGGCAACACTGCATCTGGCCTATGTAATAAACGTGTTTAGGAGATTTCACGCGATGTTGAACTCCAAACAGTTTGGTTGCTAAGGCGTTGTCAAGTGGTTAAACTGATATTATCTGTCAGTTGCCTATTACTCGCTTTAGCTTTATTTTCTGACACGTGTTTTTCTTTGTTTAGGTCGATTTATGTAGTTAATTTAGTTTATTTCAGTAGATCTATTGTAGGTATAAGATTTTCATTTATTAACCATATTTTAGTTGTATGTTAGTGCGATGATCCGATTAATATATTTTCTCCTATCGAAAGCATGCTCTCGCAAATAAGCTTACAAACTCCTCGTGGGTTGCACATCTGGCATATTTTGCTGATATTTTTGAGTATGTGAATCGACTGAACAAAGAATTGCATGGAAAAAACAACAGTATAATTTCAGCCAGAGAAAAGATTTTGGCGTTTGGATTAAAGTTTTTATTTTGGAAACAGAAAGCAGGACAAAGCAAGGTAGCTGCCTTTTCCAGGTTAGCTTTATTTTAGGACGATTGTGAACATGTAACTTTTTACGACATCAAGGATGCATTTATATGGCATTTTACCAAACTCAAAGAGCGGTTCTATGATTACTTTCCAGATCTTGATTCGCATGCTGTCATTTGGGTTGTAGATCCCTTTAAATCTGAAATTGTTGATGTATCA